ATATTGGTGTGCGTTTTTGGTAAAAAATAAATAATTTTACTGTAACAAGTTCATCTGACAGGGCATACAAATTATACCAGTATAAGAACGTACAATGTACCCATAATACACTACGCATAATCCATAGCTAAGAAGCCCTGCACACTCTGCCAGGCAGAAAACGAATGTAACCTCGAAGAACGAAGGAAATAGAAACCTCATAAACAAGCAAAACTATATGCTCACCTATGGAGTTCTTACGACTGGAGTATGCAACCCTGCTGAAATATAAAAATACTGCACAAATGGTTCACGGTAAACCTGCAAAACCAGGCACGCTCTGCAACACATGCAAACACAGCGTGCTGTTACGTATCGCGCTGACATTGCTTCAGATGGGTTAGTAATAGCAAATTTTGCTTGACACAAGAATACATACCCTTAGGACAGTCAATCGCAGCGGGACTAAACACCACGATTGCAGCAGACTTAGCTGTCCAGAATAAGCGTGATAAAGGAACGAGCTGGAAACGAGGCATACGAGAAGTTAACGTGAAATGGGGCTGCACAGAGGAGCAATGCGTTAAACCGAAGCGACACGGTAACTGGAAACGGCGAAACGGCGAGCAAGACATATACAGTTATATGTCGCACTAGGAAAAACGTGTACATAAACAAATAGAAACTGCACAATAAAATAAAATAAAGACAGCTTCACGTGCAAGATCAGAACTGTAAACGTACCTGGCGTGTTGCGCTACAATGGCCTTCCTTTGCGCGACTCTCATGTACCCCAGCAGCGCGACGTCAATAGTTGGCCGGAGCTGCCGCCTGAAAAGGGGAGGGATGTGAAAAACGGACAGACATGCGTATGGACGATTGAAAAAAAAAAATAGAATTAACGATACTATGTTCGCGCAAGGCAACATAGTCTCGACGTTCTCACACAGTCTGGTTGTGGGCTTGAAGGAACTCGGAGTTAAGAAGGGTTGGACGAGGAGTGCGGAGATTACGAAAAGAGTGTGCAGAAGTTGAAGAGACTTGCAGTCCGAAATGTGTGTTCTGTGGGCGTAGGTGATAATAAGTGCGTGAATGCTGGGAATCTGCGTGGTCTGCAACGGGGTGGACGGAACAACTGTATGAGGTGGGCGTTTGATTTGGTTTGGATAGGCTGGGCGTGCTGACGTGTTCAAGATGGCATGTGTTGTTTGACAGTTATTGGTTATAAATGATATTTGGGCTCACACGTTACACCCCTGAAGAACCATCTAGCATCCGTGGCTTTGTTTGGGTGGTTGGAGTTCAGATCTGAGAAAAAAACGAAAACAATGTATCCAGTTCTGCAACCTCGCTGGATTTCGTGAAGATTCGTGGGGTCGGTTTGTTTCGTGAATTGTGTGGTTACATCCCACTGTCATTTGTTACTCTGCATTACCGCTTGCAAACTCTCTCGAACGCGCAAAACCGATTGACGCGAAATTGTTGACGGGAATGCAACTTTCGGGTGACGGTTTTGTGTCCGTGAAAACATCCGGTACTGGTGTACGGAATGTCGCGTTTCGCGTGCGTTGTTTTTTGGACGCTTCGCGCAACACAGACGCAGGCTTTTCGTAGAAAAACCTTCGGACCCCCAAATTCGACATTTTCCTTTTCCGCGATGGAAAGTCAGCCGTGCCGACGGGCAATGATGGTAACCAGGTGACGTTTGCGTCGAGTCCTGAGCGTCGTCCCGTGGCCGGGCTAAATTTCAGCTACGCGTGTTTGAAGGCCATGAAGGGTGCGCTCGTGTACGGCTCAAAGCGGAGCCCCGCGAAAAGGCTTATAGCGGGTAAGTGCCATGCGCAGCTGCGGAACTCGTTGCAGCAATGGGTGGCGGAGGCGAGGGGGAGAGAAGCGGAGGAGGCTGATGATGACGCCAGTGGCGGTGGTAGCAGCAGCCGCAGCAGGAACAGCAGCCCCAGGTGCGTGGACGCGGTGTGCGCTCCGTGGAGGCCGCGCTCGCTGCTGGGGGAGGCTGTGCTGCTTCCGCCGACTGAGGGCTGTGCGGGGACTGTGGTGCTGGGAGGGAATGTCAGGGCGCTGGAAATGAGCGTGGGCGTGGGAGAGACTCGGTTGAGAGCGGAGCGGGCAGCAGCAGAGCTGTGAACGGCAGCAGTGCCACGTGGCCTGAGGCGTGCTGGCCTGAGGCGTGCTGGCCTGAGGCGTGCTGGCCCGTGCCTCACATGCCGTTCAACAACGAAGTGGTGGGTCAGCGGGAAGGTCATGAGGGGGATGGTGATGAGGGGAAGTGTTACCAGTAGAGCAGTGAGATGTCTTGTATAGCGGCGTCGCAGAGCCGCACATGGCCTTCAACAGGGCAGTAGTGAGTCAGGAGGAGGGTCGTCAGGGGAAAGCCTACCATTAGAGTCAGCAGGAGCGGGTGCCACGTGGCCTGCGGCATGCCGGCCCGTGTCCCTCATGCCCGCCCGTTCAACAAAGCAGCAGTCAATGCATGAAATGACCCGTTGGATCCTTGACTCCGCCCGCCCGCTCATCCTCCCCCCCGCTCATCCTCCCCCCTCTCCCCCACCAACTCCCTTCTCATACCTCCCTCCTCTTCTCGTCCGTCTCCCCTCGTCAGCCCACCCCCAGATCGCTCCATATGCGCCTGATTCGACGAGCGCCTCCCTATCTCTCCTTTCTTTCACTCTCCAACTCATCTCGCACAGGTCCCTCACATTTCCCCTCCCCTCACATTTCCCCTCCCCTCACCTTCCCCCTCCCCTCACCTTCCCCCTCCCATCACGTTCTCCAACTCGCCTTCCCTCTCACATTCATTCCTCCCTTCCTTACTTGCTCCCACCATCCCATCCCATCCCATCCCATCCCATCCCATCCCATCCCATCCCATCCCATCCCATCCCATCCCATCCCATCCCATCCCACCCCACCCCAACCCCCCACCCCGTCCCACCACACCACCCAGCCGGCCCCCAGCAGCAAGTACCTGCTGTTCGCCTATTGGGACGAGCAGCTGTCCAACTGCAATCGCATCTCGTGGAGGCGGCCCGCATCGCCCACGCCACCAACCGCATCCTCGTGCTGCCCAAGGTGGGATAACTTTTCCCTGCCAAAGGTCTGCCCTTCTTCTCATGGGGCACGTGCCGAATGGAGGCAACATGACGAATGTCGTCATGCCTGCTGCCTGTGATGCCGTGCTCTCCCGCTTGCACGCATGGTGAGAGACTTCATTGCATGGTCCTAGTTGCGTGCATGGTGATAACTGCTTTCATGTAGTTGTAGGGGGGTGGATATGCCACGCTGCTGTGTGGGGCAATGGAGGCGTGACCCTACAAACTAGGGGCACCACGGTGGGCATCGTCATGCCTGCCACCAGTAACGCCCTGCTCGCCCGCTTGCACGCATGGTGAGAGCTCTGGTGCGGGTGGGTGGTGGACATGCCTTGGTGCTGTGTGGGGCAATGGGCATGGGGCACGTGTCTGCACGAGGCAACACAGTTGATGTCAGCATTCCTGCTGCCACTGATGCCGTGCTCTCCCCCTTGCATGCACGGTGAGAGCTGCTCTCGTGTGGGTGTGGACATGCCGTGTTGCATTCACGCATGAGAACAGCTGTTTTCCCCTATGCTCCCATGCGTGCAAGTGGCACAAGCACGTGGTGCTGTGGGTGAGGGACACGTGGAACAGGTAGCATATGGGCACTCCATGACCTTCGCCCCCATTCTTTCAGGACTTGATTCCATGCTCCTATGCTTCTATGCTCCCATGTTCCCATGCATGCAGGCAGCACAAGCACGTGGTGGTGTGGGTGAAGGACATGTGGGAGCTAAATATTGGTGCTATGCCATGCGCATTTCTCCATGCTTCCTTCTCCCCTCTCTTTCCGTTCTGTGCACGCCCTGAGCAAGTGGCATAGGCAACTGGTGGTGTGGGTGAAGGACTCGTGGGAGCAGAAAGTACCATGCTATACCATGCTCATTCTCCTTTCTTCCTCCTCCCGCCTCTTTCCATTCTGTGCATGCCTTGAGCAGGCAGCACAAGCAAGTACCTCATGTCTGGGTGAAGGGCACGTGGGGGAGGGTAGCATTCGAGCCCACACGGACCATCCTTCCACAAGCTGCCCTACAGCCACCCCTGCCATGCCATGGCGCATGCCCTCATGCCGCCTGCTCTCATGGCTCGCCTGCCTGTGCGCTTCACTTGCTGTGCACATGCCCTCTGAGGGCATGTGTGTGTGTGGCCTGTAGTAACCCCTGACACTCAAGCCCTCATGGCCGCCCACCCCCGCGCTTCATTGCCGTTCACTTGTGCTCTGAGTTCATTGCCTTCCTTCATCACTGCATGTGTGTGGAAATAGGCCTGGCCTGTATAGCCCTAGACGCAACTCCCTTCCTCCCCCGCCTGCCCCGCACGTCATCACCGTGCGTGCACCCTTCCGCTCTGCATTCATCTCCTTTCGTCTCACCACGTCTCATGCGTGCTATACGTTCCATGCTGCCTCAGCCCGTCCTTATCCTCCTCTCCTCCTTCCCTTCGCTCCTCCTGCACTCCCCTCTCTCCCCCTATCCTCCTCTCCTCTCCTCCTCCCCTCCCTCTCCCCCAGACAGGCACAAGCTCTAGAGGGACGGCAGGAAGGCGAATTCGAGTATGCTAGGGGACATGACGACCGGGTGTGTGCAGACAGCACGTGACCTCATTCATAGATGGAGCAGGTAAAGCGGGATTCGCACACCACTGCTGTGTTTTTTGCAGCTGACGTGTCCTTCACAATGTCCCCATCCCGTCGCCTCTCCATCTTATCCATACAGGCGCTGAGACTGAAGATGGACGGCAGGAAGGCGAACGCAAGCATGCTAGAGCACGTGATGATGGGGTGCACGTGATGATGGGGTGCACGTGATGATAGGCTGCACGGATGCTCTTTGCCATACCCGATATGCTGCATGTGTCTCCATCCCACCCTCTTTGCCATACCCGATATGCTGCACGTGTCTCCATCCCACCCTCTTTGCCATACCCGATATGCTCCTCTCTTCCCTCCACTCCTTCTCCCCCCCGTACAGGCGCAATCTGCTAAAGAGGGACGGCAGGCAGGCAAATCCGAGCATGGTGGAGGACATGATGACGGGGTGTGTGCATTTGCCTGCCTGCCGGGCAGCACGGGACCTCATAGAGCAGGTGCAGCTGGAGAAGCACACCACGGCCATGTCAATTGCAGCCCATGTGCCCTTGGTTGCCCGCGCGGCCGGACCACAGGCCGGCGGCAAACAGAGAGGGGGAGACACGGACACGGGAAGGGCGGAGGAGGGCAAGGAGTTGGGGGGCAAGCGTGGGCGGCAACAACATGGAGCATTGGCGATAGGGAGTGGGTGAGGGCGTCACCCTGGGTGAGGACATCCTGCGGTGGCAGAGCTGACGGAGAACGTGAAGGGGACTGTCATGGTGGACGAGGTGCTCTCACAGGTCATCCAGTACGACTCCGGTGAGTGCAGAGCGGTGCAGCGTGGTGTGGAGTGGTCTGCAGTGATGATGGACCGGCATTGTTGACGGGCGGGTGTGTGTGCAAGCGCAAGTGCTCTCTGTATTGCTTGCACCCTTTCTGTTCCCCTCTTCCTCCCTGCGCTCGTCCTTGTCTGCCTCTCCCGCTCATGACGAGCCGACTTCATGGCGCTAGTAGACACGCTGGTGTGTGCTTTGAGTCGACCGATGAAACACTTGTGGAGGTGGGTGCAGGCACATGTGGGGGCGGGCGTGGCTCGAGAAGGACAACAGTAACCACTCCGGCAACTCAACCACCCCCACTCCTCACTCAAACGGTGGGCGACGGATGCAACCACATACCTCAAGTCGCAGAAATGGCTGGGATTTCTCCAGACGTCCCAAGATGCGATTCCTTGACACCACGACCGGCCCATTATATGCCTCAAACACACAGGACGGGACGGGACGGGACATAATACATCTCGATTCTCTAGATGTACTGTATCGTACCCTTTAAGCAAGGATACCACCACTACCACCCATTCTCCCTTGTGGTAGGGGTTTTCCCTGTTACACTGTGCTTCGCTGAAGCTGGCAACCTCATCTCGTGTATGCATGTGAAGCGAAGTGCATCTTGCTAAGTTGTTGCCGCCCTGTTATGTACCGCCACAGCAAGGCACTGCAGTCCAAGGCGCTGCACCACACACAATGAGCTTCCCAACGAAGTGTTGAGCTATATAGGAACGACTACTGCATACAAGCTCTATATATAGGCAACTCAAAACCACACGGCTTCTCTTTTGCGCAAGCCATTAGTATGTTAGCTACTATAGCAGATTTCTTGCAAAATAACTCGCCGCTGGTCATAAGTCTGGTGGAATTAGCACTGTACTGATGCCATGAATCGAAAAAGTCGAGCCGACGAAAATATTCGGTACCATGACGAGCGACGGGATGAGCTCCCGCCCTTGAAAGAGCGTCAGCGGTTGAAAATTCGGGCCGCGTTTAATCAACGGCATGCCTTCTAGAGTTTCCAGCTCGGTGCCGCCCGGAAGGGACGTGAGATTGACGTAGGAGTAGCGTTTGGTGATGACGTGGAAGGCCAGGATTTGATCTCGCTTGGCCGGGGAGAAGGCGGTTTTCATGAAAGAGAGGACTTCGGGGGAGAGCGGGAGGAGGATGGTGACGTCAGAGAGTGACGTGAGCGCTGATACTGTACATGGGTGGATGGGGTGGGGGGGACGGGGGGAGGGATGTGGGGGAGAGAGGGGAGAGGGAGGGGAGGGAGGAGGGGTGGGGGAAGAAGGGGGGAGAAAGACGTTAGTGGTGAGCAGGGAGGGGAGAGTTGATGCACTATATGGAAAGGACTCGATGCCACGTGGACGGATCTGAAACCAGCAATGCTTAATAAGGGGCCGTTAAGGGGTATGGGGATGAAGTGGAGTTTAGAGACGTCTCTAAACTCGCCCGCTAGTGAGTCTAATGGCGACGAAATTGGGATGAGGAAGCGGGTAGAGGGAAGGAGGGAGGGAAGCGCAGAGCGTAGCAGCGGCTGTTATGGAGTCCTTGTAGGAGTCAGAACGCAGAGCTGAGCTTGTGAGTGCGGACGGTGCAATATGAGGGGCTTGGCGCGCAGTAAGGCTCAACGAGGGTTGCTAGCTAGGGTGAATGAAGGGGCGGGGATCGGAGGAATTACGGACGGCGATTGGGGGACGAAGGAACGAGCGCAGGGGAGCGTGCTGCAGGGCAGCGTGGGGAGGTGAATGCATGGCGGCGCTACGCTTGGGCCCTTGGTCTGCGCATCGCGGCTACCGCGCAAATGAGGGACGCGCGGGGGAGGGACGCGCGGAGGAGGGAAGCGCGGAGGGGAGAAGCGCGGAGGAGGCAAGGAGAGAAGGAGAAACGCACGGGAGGGAGATCGCGGGAAGCGAAGGACGCGGCGAGGCATGGACGCGCAGGGTGGTGCGCGGATGGGGAAAGGCGGGGAGGCGGAAAGGAGGAAAGGGGGAACGCCCAGGAGGAGGAAAGCGAGGGGCTGAGCGAGGGGGGATAAAGTGGAGGAAAGGGAACAATGCGCGTGACGCTCAGAGTGAACCCGGGACGGGACGCTCGCGGGAGCGGACGACAGCGGAGAATAGAGCAACGAGAGGTAGAGAGGGGTGCAGGGGAGTTGGGGGCGGGGAGGGGGGAGGGTAGGTGGTTGAGAGTCAAGCGCGAGAGCAGGCGGGAGAGACGGCGGGGGAGACGACGGGGGAGACGACGGGGGAGACGACGGGGGAGACGACGGGAGAGCAGGCGGGAGAGACGGAGGGGGGAGACGGGGGCGGGAGAGACGGCGGGGGGAACGGCGGGAGAGCCTAACCGAAAGTGGGAGAAAGCCGGGAAGGGGCGGATGGAGGAGGAGCGAAAGGCCTGGAAGCGCTGTAGACGGTGCGGGGACGACCCGCGTAGGGCGTCGTAAGCGGGACGTAGGGAGTCGCATGTGTTCGTAAGGGGTCGTAAAGTATCGTACGGGGCATGTAGGGGTCATAGCGCTCTAAGAGGGATCGTAGGGGGGCGCAGCCAATCGTAGGGTTCACAAGGGCTCGTTTAGGGGGAATCGTGTGGGGTTGGTGGGGTTGCGCCGGGGGGTGGTGGAGGGGGGGAGGGGAGAGTGGGGGGTCGAGAGAAGGCTGTGGAGGGAGGGAATATGGATTTTTTAAGAGCACGAGGGGGAAGAGGGACGCACGCCATTGGCTGATGACGTCTTTCACGGTCGCGAACTCTGCTCGCTGATTGATTTGCGCGATGGCCTGCTGCAGCTCCGCTCTCCGTATCGCCTCCGAGCCGCTTGCTTGCAATAGTATTAGTAACGAGAAAACTATAGCGAGTACGGGTATTGAGTGTTGCCATCTTTGCTGCCGACAAGCCATTAAATAAACAAAATGGAGGCGAAAAGGGATGCCTGTCTTTAAAGAGGATATGAAGCCCGTCGGATACGACTACGGCTGATAATTTTGTCCCAACGAACTGCTTCTGAGGATGCACGCAGATCAAAAGATGTGCTTAACAAATTTATAGGGGAACACTAAAACGACATTTCGCTGATGTCGCGTCGTCTATGTCGACCGTCGAGCGCCATTTTGCCAACGCTAAGATAGACACGGCGCTGCGGACTACGGGACGTGCGCTTCGCAGGTGTGAGAGGCTGATAAGCAGTGAGGAAGAAACCGTAGATACTTGGGGACTAGCGGGCAATTAACTAGCGAAGAGTGAACTAGCGTTGAAGGCGGAAAACGTTCACGATGCGTAAATGACTAACTTTCAACCCGAATAGGAGTCACGAAAGACGATGGAGATAGAAGCTTGAGTCGGTGGCCTCAATCTACTGCTGCCGGTACATACGAATGGTGGTAACCAGACGATGGTCTGCCCTGTGACCGTGAGGGTTGGTTGGTTGTCTGGAGATGCTGCTGCTGGGATGCCCTGTCCACCTTCTGCCATGATTGACGGTGGGGAAGGGCGTTGGTCAGGGGTCAGGGCAGGCTGACTGGGGGAGTTCAGCCAAGAGCCGAAACTTGCCATCGCTGGTTACAATTCTTTGGATTTTTGTTTCGGGTGAAATAGACTGCCCGTACTGGGAACAGGCTGGAAGTATTCATCGTTTCGGTGGGCGTGATACAGATAGGTCGCAGTAGCAGGGTCTGATAAATTGTGGTGCATCCGTTTTCCAGGGTTTGATCCAGGGATGCGGCGGAGCACTGTGCTGCGCACCCGGCTGGACCGTGAAAATACGAAGTGTGAACAGGAACCTGATCAACGCAAACGGAGTTTGTCATAATGTTGTTTGAAGAGCCGGTGAGGAGGAGGAAAGGATGTGTTTTGGGAACTCGGAGCTCAAAACCAACTGTTGTTGGCCTGCGACCTGGTTGAGTTTCCCCTTGTTTCGCAAAGTGATATATTTGTGTCTGAGATGGGGATACTCGGGAAAACCACCTCGACTTCAGAGGGCCAGCCTGTGAGGGCACCTGGCAGTGCTGTGCATTATGGGGTGATGGATGGGGAGAGCTGTGAGGTTTGGGGAACTACTGTACAGTACATGGGGCCAGGTCAGGTCACGATCACGGATGTCAGGGAAGAGGTGCACGAGGCGGGGAGAGTAGGCGTGCACCGGGATATGCTCGGCGGTTTTGGAAGAAAGGCGTTGAAGAGCTGCCGTGCGCTAGGTGAGCAGTTGGGGGAACGGCGCGAAGCTCGTGAGCACCACACAGTTTCGTGCAGTCTGGTTACCAGGTCTGAGGCAACGCTCAAGACAGCGTGCGAAACACCAGTGTGTCGGGAATGCGTTGGACATTCGGTGGTGACAAACCACAGACACCACCCGCAAGCAACTCCAGTTGATCCGACGGACAGGATTTTACAGGTCACGTTCCCCCCGTAAAACTTTTCCACTACACTTCCGACAATGACAGCTGTACATGGGGCTCAAGCCGAGATCATTGGCTTCTGCAGTCGCGCCTGTCGTCTAGCGTGAGCAGGTTAGCATTTTCAAGGGCTATTATGTGTTTTACCCTTGATTCATATCTAACCCGTAATTGAATCTTCAATGCCTCTCTTCTGCGCTTCAGAACCAGGAAAACCCCGTCAGCACAAAACCCAGCCTCAACATATGGGTGACCAGCATCGTCAGCCCGTTTCACTTCCTGGCATGCACAGGTTGCCCTTCCTCATGACCTGGCTGCCCTTTGTCGGTACTGTACGCTAGGGCAAACGAGATTTCGAGAAATGTCGAGACCAACATACACAGTACGGACGGAGCGATGTGTGGGGTTGAAAGGCGTAACTAGGGACAGGTCACTGGCTTGGTGTTCCAGATTTCGTTACAGTTGAAGCACTAGATTATGGAACGATAGACATGCTGCTCTTATGCGTATTTAAGCTAGTCTAACAACGGGTTTTAACAATACATCTCTAAAACGGATTTCTATTATTCCCATTTCATCTAATCCTTGTAGCTGCAATTCAATAAATTGCATCACTGCCTCTGAACGCCTGGGGTTAGAATTGGAATGACAAATCATACTGTTACAGCAGAGTCGCCTCCGCCGCCGTCCTTCTGCACGACGAGCCCTCACCAACACACACGCCGTTCCAATACCAACCCATCATCACGCCTTTCCTCTGCCGTTATCCCACACCAGCATTTCAAGGGGGATCACAAGTCGGCGGGGATGAGGAGCGTCGTGGTTCCTTGGATCGTGAAGTCCGAGCCCACCCACAAGTTGGGGATGATCAGCATGCTCCAAAGGGTCGCGCCCGTGCCCTGGAAACCCACGACTGGCTGGTAGTTGGGGCCGCGCTTGATGACGGTGCTTCCTTCCAGCGTGTCGAGCGACGCGCCGCCCTTCATGGTTGTGAAGTTGCGGTAGAGATAGCGCGTGGTGATGGTATTGTACGATATGATCGTTGTTTGCTGATCCGAGGTGTACGCGTACAGCTGCGCGATGCCCACAGGTATTAAAATGGTGACGTCTGTAAGGGGAATAGCTTGCTTAACTGCCCAGGCGAGAGAGAGAGAGGGAAGGGCAGGAAATGGTGGGAGGGGGAGTTATCAAAACGAAATGTATAACAGTTAATAACTGCTGTACGTTGTCGTGGAAAAGCAGATTTGGATGAGCTGCGACTCCTCTAACGCCTTGGCATTTCACGTAACACAGCAAATGCCATCTACTTCGTTTTATAACAGACGTCATTTTCCACAGGTTTGTGAGGGTTGATTGCGCAAACGAATCCCGAGGGAGAGAACGAAGGAGAAGATGGTGTACAAAGCTTTTCTATTGGTCGCAAGGCTTGGCATGTTGAAGTGAAACGGGCGAACGATGATGCAAAGAGGGGTTCTCTTTCGCTCAAGGCGCCACACGAGCGCCCCTTAACTTGCGCAGCCTCCTTAAAATCACCGTCAGAAGGCGGCATTTACAGCACAGTTCGATTGGCTCCTTCCAGAATAAACATTTCTTTTTCTAGCAGATCACTTACGGTACTTGTCGATCAAGTCATGGACGTTCTTGAACTCTGGTCTTTGCTTGATGCCGTCGCTCGCCTTCCGTACCTCCCGCGGGTTCAGCGCTGTCGCTTGGTGTTCTTGCCACACAGCCACGAGCAACAATAGGGTAACCAACTTGACGAGCGTTTTCATGGTTTCTTGCGGGAATACCTTTTACATGTGCGGTTCCAGTCCGCCACTACACACGACTGTGAAGCAAGTCTACAACAGCCTGATAAAAAATGGCCAGCACTGATGAGCGCCTCCGATCCGCGACTACAACTCGTTCCAAGATATCGTTACTTGCTAAATCGAGAAAGACAGTACAGGGTTTCACTCTAAACTCTGAAAGCGCTTCCGAATCAGCAGCTCTTCTAGGCACTAGTAGTGACTTTAATCCTAACTGGCACGTGTGAGTGATTGACACTATGGCCTGAAAGCTAACACCGTAAAAGGCTGGCAGAGACTCGTGGTGCTGTAGGGTGGTAACGCGTAAACCGCTTTACTGAAAGCGTGCCCTATATTCCCCACTCAGAAATTGTCCAGCGTATTTCACGTCACCTCACCCGTCATCGACCTGGCCGCAATTGCCGAGCTCAATGTTCATCCAAAAGTGCTACGGTTTTGCTGCATGGATGTAGGGGGGCGTACACCGTCGCCAGAAGCACCTTCCTCACAATTGGCGCTCGCGCATCTCGCCTTGCACGCTCCCCTCGAGCTGGTAACACCTGCGAAATAAGTTGCTTCTCGCCAAAGGAAGTTTGCTGCCTGAGTGACCAATCGCCTTCCGCAAAGCCCATCAATAGCATCTCATTCGTTAGACAGGCATGAAAGTGTCGCTGGAAAGTTTTGCGATGTTTGGCGGTGCGAGTGGCCCCGTGAACATTGGGGCACGTGAAGTGTGCCCTTGACATCAGAATGAATGTGGTCGAACCGTGGCAGTTAGCCCAGGCCGCAAATATCGCAATGCGCATCTCAGTGTGCTTACGTGCGATTGCGACGCGGTGTGTACATGAAGCATTTCCTCGCAATTTCAATACTACAGTGCAAAACATACTGTAATTTTTGCCTATTTCTGTGACTGTCTATATCAGTCCCCTTTCAATTTGGGATGGGATCAGGAAAGATGTTGGTGAGAGCACTACTTTAAATAAATTAACACAGAATAATCGTAGAGCCTTCATATTCTATAATACATAAAAGCTCATACCGCATTGTCCCAATGCCAACTGCTTCAACATCCATTCATGCAGATTAATCTTCTTTCTGGTAGTAGTTGCATTCAGCTGCTGTCACATGCACTACTCCAGCATTGCCCTGTTTGCGACCCAGGCCCACTTCAGTTTGCCTCCCCTACCTCCATGTTATTGTGCCTCCAAAGTTAATGACAACCACATATCTTACTCCCACTTCTCCCATAGAATGGCCCCCACCTGTGGCTCCACAACTGTTCTCTTTTCTCACTGCAGCCCCTCCTCTCCCACGCAGAGCAGTCCCTCTTCTTCTCAACCACAGCAGCCCCGCCTCTCTTCCCTGCAGCAGCTCCCCCTCTCTTTTTCCCACAGCAGCCCCACCTCTCATTCCCACCGCAACCCCGCCCTCTCACCCTAAAGCAGCCCCGCCTCTCTTCCCCCTCAGCAGCCCCCCTTCTCTTCATCCACAGCAGCCCTGCCACTTCCCCCTCAGTAGACCTCCCTCTTCCCCCCTACAGCACCCCCGTCCTTTCCTCCTCAGCATCATCGCCCCTCTCCCCCCACAGCAGTCCCCTTTCCCATCCTACATCACCAATACAGAATACACAGCTTGGAGCACACAGCCCAGTCAGGAGTCAGCAGCACACAGCCGTCAGGAGCACACGGCCTGGGTGGTTTCGCAGTCGGGCAGCACATCCAGGCAATTCTCATCCACCTTCAGCCGCGTGGGGTAATCCGCAGGGCAAACACCCTGGATAATCGGCGACCCCGTGAACGAGTTGTTCCGCACGTCCAGAACGAACGTGCTGAGGGCTCCCAGAGCTGGCTGCGGCAGCGGCCCCGTGAAGCTGTCTCCTGCGAGTACCAGCCGGGTTAGATTCGGAAGGTCGTTGATGCTGACAGGAAAGTAGCCTCCTAGGTCCGCATTACTGCTTAGGTCCAAGCTTAGTAGCTCTGACAGATTTCCCAGCTCTTCTGGCAAGGTACCGTTGAGCGCGTTGGCGCCAAAGTGGAAGTATTTCAGCTTCGTGAGTGTGCTGACGGACACGGGGACCTCGCCCGCCAGCAGATTCCGCCCGAAGAACAGCCCTTCGATGTTCTCCAGGATCGGCCAATCGTAGTCCGCCATTTGTCCCTCGATGCCGTTCCCAGCGAGGTTGAGGCTCGTCAGGTCGCTCATCAGCACGATTTCCGTTGGGAGCGACGCGATGTGGTTTCCCGCCAAGTTCATCGACACGATCCCTGCGCCTGAGGCGGGGAATGTGATGGGCATGTCGGCTAACAGGTTCACGCTTGCCGAGAACGTCAGGTTAGACCCGCTGCCGTCTATTTCCGGGAACATAGCCGGCAGGTCCGTGAAGAAGCATCTGTCGAAATGGCCGAACTGCAGACTTGCGAGGCGACTGAACTCGTCCGGAATCGCTCCTGAGAGGTAGGTATTGGACACGTTTAGAACCTTGAGGTTGGTAAGCGCGCCGATGGACGGCGAAAGCGGGCCGCTCACGAGTGTATTGGAAATGTCGAGGTAAGTCAGCTGCGTGAGGTTCCAGATGTAGTTAGGGTTCTTGTTGAAGAGGTTGCTTGAAAGGTCTAGATGCTGCAAGCGAGTCAGCTTAGAGAGAGTCGTTGTGAGCGGGCCGAGCAGGGCGTTATTCGCGAGGCTCAGCATCTGTAGATGCGACAGACCCGATAAGCTGGAGGGTATTCCCGCGACAGGGCTCTTTATCGCGGAGCTGTTTAAAGCGAGTTTGAGGACGTTTCCCGCGGGACCGCACGCGACGCCGATCCATTTCGAGCAATCGGCGCCTTTCGCCCACGACGTGGAGCCAGTAAATCCGCTATAAGCACCCTTGAGAGATAATAACGCGTCTTCTTGCGATGACTTGATCTTGACTGACGATACCAGGCGATCGGAAGGTGAGGGGAGAAAGAAGAGGAGGAAGGTGGTGTAGATTAAAGACGGCTTCATGGCGGCGGGAACGCGACGCGGTTCTGGTATTGCGGAGCGGTAAGGGCCGATTCATGAGGATATGGGACGGTCTGTCGACATCGAGCGCTGCTTGCGGCAACGTTCGAGCGCGCGTGACTTAGTTTCAGACGGCTTTCGCTAAGTGTAGGCTATCGCCACATATAACGCATAATGGCTAGCAGAGACGCCTGGTCCGTGGGGTTCTCACGACAAGACCTGTAAGGGTCACGCTTGGGTCTCTTCGCGCTGCTCTGATAGTCAGCGAGAAATTTAGTAGTACTACTGGTTCAGTGCAAATTAGCGGCGATTAGGGGGCGATTACGGAGGCTTGGTGGTGTCGCGTCGTGTGGTGTTTTTGGGTGTCGTGCGGCGCAACTTTTTCTCCCAGCCTGTGGTGGGTGGCGCAGTGTGGTTTGGTGTGGTTCGCGTGCACTATCGAGCTTAGTTACGGGGGGAGGTCATGCCTGCGCGGGATGGACAAGAGAAAACACCTGTGCGGATGAACAAGGGGGGACAACAGGCGGTTTCAAGGGGTGAAGAGGAGAGGGGAATGGTGTAGGACGGGAAGAAGGTTTGGTGAGGTTGTGGGATTACAACGCAGAATTGGGCTGGACAGAGGTGGTCGGTGCGTGGTGGCGGGGTGGGTGTTGTGTGGGGGGGAGTTACAGATGGATATGGATCTGCCAGGGGGATCAGGTGGAATTGCAGGGTGGCGCGGGTGAAGTTGGGATGTTGGGGAGCAATAGTTTGTTCAGTTTAACAAGAGCTTCGATACAGGTTCTCGGCTCTCGTTCCTCATGTTTTTTATCGTGCAGTTGAAGTGCGTGGTGGCACCGGTAAACGACAACGCAGCCGCTTTTTGCGTCTCGAGCTGGAAAGGAAGTCTGGACTGGATCTCCCTGACGTGACGAACCAACAAAGCCCATCCCAACCAGGGCTGTCGATTGGTTCCATGCCAACACTTGAGAGCCTGAGGTGCCCGTATTTCGGCCCTGAAATCTCCGGGAAGTGCCCTTTTCCGAGCCTTTAAGCGTCTGGGAAAGCACCCAACCAAAAACTTAAATTCAGGGCTACACTACAACAATCAGGGCAAACTCTACATAACGAAAACTAATAAAGGCAGAGTTAATTTAGAACTGCCTATCTACCTATCTACTAATGACTAAGTGGCAGGCTTGCGGCGCTTCTCCCCGTCGAAGATCTGGTGCACACCTGCCCAGTCCACGTCGTAATCTAGCAGACAGGAAAGGGAGAGGGGGGGGGGGGTAGAAAGGGCTGTGGAAGTTTCCTGGTAAGGCAGAAAACTTTCGCGGGGATTTAGGGAAACCCTCTAAGAGTCCCCTGTAAGAATCAGGGGAAGGCCCAGTTCACGCCCGTTATCATTCCGGGCTGTACAAAAAATCAACCCTGAGAATCTGGACTTTGGGGCAAAGTCAGACCTTAAAGCCCAAGATCTGAATTACAAAAAGAGGAAGGCAAACTGTGCACAGTTTGCCTTCCGAACCCACTGTTGACTTCCCGAGCCACGCTGGTTGCCAGAAAACATCGCGCCAAAAAAAGCGGAGTCGTAGGGCAGAACAAGTACGGTTGGCGAGAGTCCCAACCGCACCCTCCTGAAGGAAGAACCGCTCAAAGTGTGCACAGTTTGCCTTCTTCCGTAATCCAGGTTGTGCTTGCACGGATAGTACAAAAAGCCACTAAAGCATAGGCCAGGGTTACTTTCACATTTATTCCTCGTCATCCTACGGCCCATTTAGATCTCCACGCCTTCCGCGTCACCCACGCTCCTCCCCACCGTCTCTCACACACCTCCCCATGCACACGCCCACGCTTCCCTTCGCCGTCGCCAACGCGCTCCGCCACCGTCGCTCACGCTTCCCCTTACCGCCGCTCACGCTTCCTCCTGCCTTCCCTCACGCATCCCCACACCGTCGCGCGCGCCCTCCCTCACCTTCCTCCACGCTTCCCCACACCGTCGCTCGCGCCTTCCCCACCTTCCCTCACGCGCGCCGCGCTCATCGCCCACACTTCCTCCCACCGTCGCCCACGCTTTCCCCCACCGTTCATCGCCCACGCTTCCCCCCACCGTCGCCCACGCTTTCCACCCCCCGTCGCCCACGCTTCCCCCCCCCGTCGCCCACGCTAGCCCCCACTATCGCCCATGGCAGGTGGTGGTGCGGCTTTGGAGCAGAATGTTGGGCGCACAGCCAGGGCAGCGCGTGCAGGCGGGCAGCAAGGAGTGCAGTGCTGCAGGGGGCGGGTCAGGGGAGGCGGAGCGGGGGAGGCGGGGGTTAGGGAGAGAGGGTGCAGGGATCCTCCTATCCCCCTTATACCCTGCCACACTCACCTCCTGCCCTCCTCCCTTACTCCGTTCCGTGGGGCCTCACTACCCTCTTTCCCCTTTCTGCTGCCCGTTCTCCCTCCCTTCCTCCCGCCCTCCCTTCCTGCCATTCTCCCTCTCCTCATCCTCCCTCAATCCAGTCCCCCTTTCCCTTTCCATCTCCCACTCGCCGATCCTCCCATCCGCCCATCATCTCTTCCGCCCATCATCTCTTCCGCCCATCATCTCTTCCGCCCATCATCTCTTCCGCCCATCATCTCTTCCGCCCATCATCTCTTCCGCCCATCATCTCTTCCGCCCATCATCTCTTCCGCCCATCATCTCATCTGCCTACCCTCTCATCCGCCCATCCTATCAACCCCCTTTCTCTCATACCATCCTCCCACCGTCGCCCATGCTTCTCCCCACCGTCGCCCACTGCCACTGTCGCCCACGCTTGCCCTCCCATCGCCCTCGCTTAGTCTTCCCGCCGACCTACCTTCTCTCCCACCTCTCTCCACGTCGTCATCACTCCCGTGCCCATCACGTTCCCCCTCTGCAATGCGGCTTCTCCACTCATGCTGCCCACCCTCTCATCCCTTCCCATCGCATTTAGGGTTCTCGTTGTATCCCTTCCCCATTGCCTCGTAAGGTCGCTCTCGCTCTCCCCATTGCACAGTTCACGTGCCCCCTCGCCTCCCTCTCCTTCTCCTTCCTCTCCTTCCACTCCGGCCTCACTTCCCTCTCCTCCCTCCCCTCCCTACCCTCTCTCTCCTCCCTCACCTCCTCTCCTTCGTCATCACCTCTCCTCCCTCTTCACCTTCCATTCCACATCTCCGCTGTGCAGATTGTGGCATCAGCACCCGGGTTTCAAGAGAGTTTCTGTCCCCTCTTGTTCCCATCCCTCCAATCCTTAGCTCCTCTTCACACCATCCCCTCCCTTCCCTCGAACGAGCTTGCTCATTCCCCTCCCGTCACCCACGCACACACCCTCCCCTCGACCTACAAGTCGTTCTCCGCTTCCGTCGCATACGCGTTCATCTCCCTTTCCCGCGTCTCCGCATTTCTCACCTCCCCTTCCCTCATCTCCGCATTCCTCGTCCTCCCTTCCCTCATCTCCCCATTCCTCACCTCCCCATCCCTCTCCTCCCCGTCCCTCTCCTCCCCATCTCACACCTCCCCATCCCTCATCTCCCCATCCCTCATCTCCCCATTCCGCCCCACCCCTTTCTGCCCCACCCCATTCCGCCCCACCCCTCTCTGCCCTACCCCATTCCGCCCCACCCCTTTCCACCCCACCCCTCTCTGCCCCACCCCATTCCGCCCCACCCCTCTCTGCCCCACCCCATTCCGCCCCACCCCTCTCTGCCCCACCCCATTCCGCCCCACCCCTTTCCACCCCACCCCTCTCCGCCCCACCCCATTCCGCCCCACCCCTCTCCGCCCCACCCCATTCCACCCCACCCCTCTCTGCCCCACCCCATTCCCCCCTCTTTTTTCCCCAATTTACCCCCTCTGTTTCCTATTTCCCCTCTTCCTATTTCACCTCTTCCTTGTCCTCCCTCTTCCTATGGTACTTCTTTATTTCCCTGTCAGTCATCCTCTTCCTATCTCCTCCTTTCCCTCACCCCTCCTCTTCCTATCCCCTTTCCCTCTCTCATTGTCCTTTCCCCCCCTTTCCCTTCCCCCCTGCTTCCCTCTTCCCCCTCTTCCCTATCTCCCCTACCTCCCCTGTCTGACTTTTTTTCTTGTTCCCCCTCCCCATCCCTCGTGTTCTCACCCTCTCTCAGACTATTGCAGTGACTACACTGAAGATTTTTATGGTACTGCAACTCGCCTTAGTCCATCATTCCATGCCATGCTCGTAGAGAAACCAGATCCCTTCATGTTTCTTTCAAGGCCTTGAGTAAGGTACAATCAAAAGTATTAGGAACATGACGCTACGCATCCTCCAGACACTCTTAGTGCCCACTCAACTTGGAAGTTTATCTTGACTGTAGAAATAAAAGTACATACTGTATTGTGCCTTCGAGGTTCATATCTCCAACAGTAAATATACGGTAGTAACATGCTTGCATTCAACACATAAGAAATAGGTGGTGGTTCGGTGTTAAGCATCAACTAGCTGCGCCTCAGCTTGCTCCTTTGCTTCACCACTGAAGCGAAGGGGAGTAGATGAGGCAGAACGAATGGTGTGAAGGAACATGGGGAAAAGTGGTGTGTGGTGCAAGGGAACAACGGTAAGGGAACACAAGCAAGCGCACATGATGAAAGCATGACGGTAAGGAATGAGAGGGTGGGAAGGAAAGAGAGAGGGTGGGAAGAAATGAGTTAGGGTTGTCAAACATATATGCTACATATTGTCTAGGCTGTAGTGGGGTAGCCCATATGGGGTACAGCCCAATTAGGGTTTACTACTTGTACTCCTGCATGCCACTAGTTCACACATTCCTGCTGCTAGATTCTAACATGGTTTCAGAGCACTAAGGTCCGTAGGACCGTTTTTTTTTTTTTCGGGCCCACCTACCGCTGCGGTTACCGCGCTACCCCACGTACCTGCCTGCCTTGCCTTGCCTTGTGACGTGCTGCACATGCGCTGCCTCCTGCTGCCCTAGGCCAGCGCGCTGCCCCTAGAGGCCCGTAAGGCCCGCGCGCCGCCTCTACACGCCCGTCTTCAGTT